AAGGACCTTTTCCTTAAGACAAAGGAAAACCTCTCCTTCCTCATTTTGAGTGCATTTCTTCTTGCCCCAGGGGACTCTGGGAGGCCCTCTTTGCAGGTGTACCCTCACCTCAGGCTCAAAGAGGTTCGATTGCCAATGCCCAAGACCTTTTTTTTGTTTTTTGTCTTTTTCCTTTTTATCAGTACCGGGGATCGAACTCACGACTGCCTGCTTTCAAGGCAGGCGCTTATGCCACTGAGCTAAACCCCCAGCCCCAATGCCCGAGACTTTTAATCTGCTTAGCAATTGCACTCCTGTAAATTTTTAATTTCATATTTAAAATTTTTTGAGACAGAGTCCCACTAAGTCACTGAATTGGCCAGGTTGGGCTTGAACTTTCTCTCTTTCTGCCTCAGCCTTCTTAAGTGCTGGAATTACAGGTGTGCACCACTTTCCTCATCTGCACGCTTGAAATTTTGAGGGAGCAGGGTTGACCCTAATATCTGCCATGTTAACAAAAGCAAACACAAAGGCATGGCAGAAAACAGAAATCAAGCTGTCTGTGTGTTCCTCCAGCACTGCTCCTGAACGTGACCACTGTCCTGGAAGCTCACACCTTGCTGGGCCCACCCTGACCACCCAACACCAGACAGACAGCCTCGAATATCCGGGTACCTGCAATAGCCAGGGAGCCTCGCCACTCATCACAAATGTGTGTGGGCCTTCTCTGTGCCCAAGGCTGCCTCCATGCCATGGAATGCTATATGGCCATCTGGAAAATATGCCAGCCCTGTGTGGCTACTTTTGAGATTAATATATCTATGTTTATAAGCATATTTATATACTCATAGAATAACTCTTTTTGAAAAAGGATAGTAACAACAAAAGGAAATAACAACAGCGTTGCATCTGGTTTGAGAAGTGAGCGCTGAAGACAGGGTGGAAAGGACACCACCGTTTTCTTTTGTTCCTTTTATTCTTGTCCCATGTGTATGCATTACCTGTGAAAAATGACATAAAAAGAAGACTCCCTCTCTCAGAGGCTTAAGGGGAAGCAGACATGCAAACAATTACGACAATGTGCAATTGTTATTGCTGAGATTCGCAGGGTGGGAAGGGAGTATAGGAGAGGGAATGTCTAAGTGGGCTCCGGGTGCAGGGGAGCTTGGTATAATCAGGGTGAACGCCGGAACCTCTTTCAGCTCACGGTCGCCAGAGGACAGGCAGAAAGGGCACAGCAGGGCTGCAGGAACAGGCAGGGGTCAGAATGTGAGCTGCCTGTTGCCAAGCTAAGGAGTTAGGATTTGTATTCTGATAGGAAATAGACAGCTATGAAAAAATCGTCAGCAGGGAGTGACCCGTTCAGATTTGCCATTTAGAGAGCTGTCTGTGACAGGAACAAGGAGGATGGGTTAAGAGGGGAGAGGACGAACAAGCAGGGTGGGCTATGAGGTTAATGCAATCCTCCAGGTGAGCCAAGATGCCCGTTTGACCAAAGGGAGGAGCAGAGGGACAGGGATGAAATGGGTCAGCGATATGGAGTCTATGCACAGAGCTGGCTCTGGGCGTTCTCACACTGGCATCCTTTGCACGTCTGGGGCCCCAGTCACCCCCAGCAGCTGTCAGAATGGTCCAAAGGGGATCTTCCAGGTCTTCCAGGATCCCTGCCCCAAGCTCCAGTCTCTTGGTTAAATGAGGCAGGGAAAACAGAACAGAAGCCTCTCCCTCGCCATTTATCTCCAAGGTCTCTTATTTATTCCATGCTCTCTCTCCGTTCGGGTCCTCTCATTATTTCTGAGCCGTGCAGCTTGCTGCTTCCCTAGCTCCCCTGTCTGCAAAGTGTCAATCAAGCCATCGGGTGAGCAGCTCTGCCTCACATCCTCGCATCTCTGCCCCAGGACATGGGCGGTGATTGCTGACACACACAAGCAGCAAGGTGTAGGGCTGCTGGCTGTCCCTTTAATGGTCTTCCGATCCAGAATGGGTGTTAAAGTGGAATTGGAGGGGATCGCATCTCTCTGCTTGCCCGTGTCAGGGCATCCCCAAGGACCGCAACCCTGAGGGAAGGGGAAGCCTTCAGAAGTCGATTTGCTTTTCGTTTCAAGGTTGGGCCATGGCCAGTGTCTGCTTTCGGAGGAGCTGTTTGAAATTCTTAACAAGAAGCAGAATGCTTGAGTCTGGGAATCCAGGGCAGCTTGTGAAGCAGGGGTGGGGAAATGGAATTGTCATTTTATCTCAGAAGGGATATTATATTAAACAGGGGTGGAGCGGGACTACAGAGCCGCTCTGCGGCTTCCCTGGAGGACTGAACAGTAAGAAGCATTGGGGGCAGCAGTAAAAAACGAAAAGAGAACAAAGAAAGAACTTCCCCAGGCCCCAGAACCAGTGACCAGGGAGATTTGAAGCATCTGCTTCCCCGGGGGATTTCTCCTCCTTTTACAAATTGTGAATGGAAGCATGTTTCATGGAATACGGGAACTAATGAGCATTAAGCTCAATTACCAAATTCTCTTTAGATCTTTGATAACACACAGGCAGAACACGTGGTTGTGATTGGCACGGGTCTATTTGTGCCCTGTGTCTCTTTCTGAGTACCACTGCATATATGCCTGGCCACCAAGCAGAGTCCTCATGCTTCTCATTTGGAATAGCTACACAGTATGGCTATTTCCTGCTATTGGTCTGTTTCCTTTTTTTTTACATTTTAAAAGCACAGATCCATATGCGTGTCTTTATACAATTGCCTTTTTCTCCCCCTGGGAAATAGTTCTTCAAGTAGAATTTCTGGATCAGAATGTTTGAATCATTTTACCCTGGTTGTTGAGCACTGCCCTGGCCCTTTACAAATATCTGGGCAGTTTGAATTGCCACCCTACTCTATCTCTGTCTTCACAGCATGGACAACATAAGATCATGTTATTTTAATTTATTTTTGTTTATTTCATAGGCACATGATAGTACCTTGAAGCAATTTAATTCCTATTTCTTTCATTGCTAGTGAGACTGGGCACACTTCCATGGAAGGACTGACTGTCTGCTTTTCCTCGTGTGTAAATTCTTCATCTCCTCCGACATCTTATCACGAGAAATCTGGCCTTACGGATTTCTATCAGGCCTTTACATACTGAGTGTAGTATATGTTTCTTGGCTACGTCTGCTATTTTTTACTATACAAGAGCTGTCCAATTGTGAGGCAGATGCTAGCCTGTCCCATGTGGGATGGAGGGTGACGCAGAGTTGAGATAACCTTTAGATATAAAATGATTTTTTTCTTCCAAAAGGAAAATCAGATGGCACCCTTCTCTGGGAAAGGAAGAGCTGGACTGAGAGGACAGCTAGTTGCTAAGGCTTCTGTGGGGGGTTATTTGTGGAATGAGAAGGGTTGCTAGGGTCTCAGTGGGCCACTGTGCTGAGGCCACACAGCTTCCTGGACTCTCTCAGGCTTTCTGGAGGACTGTTTCCTCCCACTCACCATATGGCCATGAGAAAAACAGCAAAATATTGAAATCAGAAGCATCACTACAAGCTCTGACTAATCTTCAGCACAGCATCGTGTTTGAAAGGAAAGGTTCTTAAGCAGATGGACCTGGAGTCACATCTCAGAGTCTGTGTACATCAGGTATGCAGCTTCAGTAAATTACAGCCCCTCTAGGCCTCGCTGTCTTTGGCTATTAACAGGCTGCGTCAAAAAATCAGCGCCCCCCGACTTAGTGACTGAAAGCAACTATTATTTTATTCTACCTCATGATTTTGTGGGTCAGGAATTCCAAAGAGCCTTAACTGAATGATTCTTCTGTGCCACATGGTATTCACTGGGTCATTCAGCAATTTTAAATGGTGGACAGGCTGGGCTGGGGGGTTCAAGTTGGCTTCTCTCTTAGGACTGGCTCTCAAGATCATCCTGGGGCCTGTATCTGCCTCGTCTCTCCCACAGGGTGGTTAGATTTCCAACATGGCAGCTCAGGGCTCTAAGAACAAGTACTCTAGGACAAGAAGTAGCTGGTAGAGATCAGAAAGAGTCATGTTTGGCTCCTAGCACATTCTATGGTCAAAGAGTCACAGAGCCTATGACTGGATGAGTGACAGAGAACTTGGGGGCTGTCTTTAATCTGCTGAAGGTGGCCATAACGATATTCCTGAGGCTGTGAGGGTACAACGAGATAATGTATCCAGAGGCAGATTTACCAGGAAGCTAATGAAACTTCAGCCATAGGGCTCCTTAATTTGATGACCTCTTCTGATTCCAGCACTTAATTCTGGGTTCATACTTTTTTTGGGGGAAGGGGTTGAACCCAGTGCTTTAAGCATGTTAAGTGCGTATCCTATTGCTGAGCTATATCCTAGCCTCCGTTTCCTTTGTTTTAAAGATTTCCAAGCATGTAAGAATCAGGACCTTCAGATCTTGGCTCTGACCCAGTGCCTGTGATGGCACCTAGCCTGTGCCTGGCCCTGAGGCGTCTTCCACACAGGGCTCCGCAGTGCCCTAGGTTGGTGCCCAGTTCTTCCTCTGTGCTTGAGGAGAGGGCTTCTCATCTAGAGCTCCTCATCTCACTCTGTCCTTTCCATTTTTTTCAGGATCATTGATTTTCCTTTTTTTCAAAATGAAAGTAACACACGCTGAGAATAATTTCATAATCACAAAACTGCCCTCCCAATTGGCCCTGTGTCTACCCCCTGACCGCACCACCCATGCGGGAGGTGGACCTTACCCTGGGCATCCTGCCAAGTTCTTAGCTGGCCCCATGGACTCTCTAAAGGAAATTAGGCTGAAGATGGAAAACCAGCAGGCGGAGGCAGCATTCCTGGTGCCCAGCTTGGTCTAGGCGGCATTGAAATTCCAGGCCTGAAGTCCTGAGACAAAGATCATAATGAGACAGGAAGGTGGCATAGGAAGGAGTCCATTTGCATGACAATAATTGGGCCAAGAATAGAAAGCTAGAGGGATATAAGGGTGAGACTGGCAGCTGAGCTGGGCTAAACCTCACAAATCAGGCTACCAGCTCTGCTCTGCAGGGGAGGTGGAGGCCAAGCCCTGAGCGAGGCTCTGGGGGAGGGAAAATGTGAGGGACACAGCCCCAGGGGATTGTGGGAAGGCAGGCCAGGCTGGACTTTGCTTACCTTTCTCCTCCTGGAGCTGCTTTTGTTTGCTTTCTCCTTCTTGGCTCTGTGGCTGTGTGGCTAAGTGAGCACTATGGCTACTCAGAGAAATCTCTGGGATGCCATTGTGATCGGGGCAGGTGTCCAGGGCTGCTTCACTACCTACCACTTGGCCAAACGTGGGAAGAGAGTCCTGCTGCTGGAACAGGTACTGTGTCACTCTGCCCTTCTGCCCTGAAGGACTGTACCTGGCGGGGGTTTCCAGATCTATCAGGTTATGGGTGAAGCTAAAAGGCTAGAATCATCACAAATTCTGTGTGGTTTGGAGTTTCACTGCTTGGTGTGTTTCCTGACGATGAAAAGCAAGTTCCACACTCTGAAACCCATGCGGCAGAGATTCTAGGCACATTTCTTCTTGTCACTGTCTCTCAGTTCTTAGCCTTAACCAAGAAGTGTCCTGGTGCTGTTTTGTTTTTGGTTTTAATTGATGGTGTGTGTGTGTGTGTATTGCAATCTTCTTGCCTCCACCTAAAGCGTTAGGGTTATAGATAGGAACCACCACACCCAGCCCAGGATGTCCCCCTTCCTCTTTTTCCTCCTCTTCCCCTTTGATACTCAGGATTGAACCCAAGGCCTTTGCACTGAGTTACATCTTCAGGCTTTATTCATTTTTTAATTTTGAGACAGGGCCTAACTTTTTCCCCCCTGAATCTATTGTATTTCAAGGAGAAAAAGAAAAAAGAAAAAAAACTAAGATATAATTTCAAAACATGTCAATTGTGGGCAGCAATGGTACATACACGGCACGTTATCCCCAAATCATTCACCCAGAGCACAAGACATTTGCCTTCAATTGTCCAAACAATACCAGCACAAATCTTTCTCTTCAGTGAACTCAGAGAAATCTGTAGTATAATTATCTTTAGTTTTTTTATATACATATATATTCATACACATAAACATATGTTGTTGCATTCAGCTTATCACACTAGTGACACAATATGATGTTTACACATGTGTGTCTTATTTATTTCACTTATGAGGATGGTCTCAAGTTGCATTCATTTACCTATAAAAGTCTCCAGTTTTTTTTTTTTTTTAAAGCCAGTCAAATTTAGCAGTAGGGGAGTGGTATACCAACTTTAGTGACACTAATGTTAATAAGTTCTGATAACCCACTGCCATCGGACCAGCCAAGTCTCCAGTTTTTTATCATTCTTCATGGCTCAGTGGTACACCGTTGCATAAAAATATCACATCTTTTTTATCCATTCCTCGGTCAGTGGGCATTTATTTAGGTTGTTTCCAAGATCTAACTATTACAAATTGTGCTGCTATAAACATGGGTGCACATATACTGTGGTATGATGTTTTCAATTCTTTTAGGAAGATACCCAGAAAGGGAATAGCTGAGTTGAGTGGGACCTGTAGTCCTAGGTTTTTGAGGAATCGCCACCCTGATTTCCACAGTGGTTGCACCAGTCTGCACTCCCACCAACAGTAGAGAAGGGTACTTTTTCCCCACAGCCCCTCCAGCATTTGTTATTGCTTGATTTCTTGATACCAGCCACTCTTTCTGGGCAAGGTGAAATCTCAGTGTGAGACAAAGTGTCACTAAATTGCTAAGTTTCCCAGCTGAGATTCCTGCCTCAGACTCTCCACATGCCAGGATTATAGGTTTGCACCACTACTCCCAGACTTGTTCTCTTCATTCTTGTTCTCTTGTCTCTTTTGTACCCAAATTGTTGGTCCAGAGCACAAAAATAATCAGTTCCACTCTGGATAACCTTAAGTAAAGAGGCAAAGGTTGACATTCCAGAACCCAGCAGAAACTTCTTTTCATTATGTCACCTCTGATAATAGCAGTCTCCTTGCTTGATACACAGGAAGTAAGATGCAGGTCTTATTTTTCCTTAAAGAGAAAAATGATCCTGGGCAATGCACATGTAGCGACTCATGGGGGTGGAAGTTGAGTAGCTGCAGGGTCCTTCAGAGGGCAGGTGCACCTACCTGAGAAGATTTCTACATCTTTCCATTCTGCCTACAGCTTTCTAGATGGGTTACAGTTTACTCTTCCTGGTAATGAAACCTTTTTCAATTGTCTATCAGTTAGAAATCTTCATTTCTCTAGCAGTTTGCTCAAAGCCCAAGGGATTCCTGATTCATCCTCTCAGGGAACTCTCCAGCTTTTGCAAATCCCAAGGTAATTCTCTTATCCTGAGTGACCCAAAGTCACAGAAAAAGAGTCAGCATTGTTTTCCTCATCCACAAATGAGATGGGTAGATTAGAAAAATATAGAAGATTCTTTCTGCTTCTGCTCTCTGAGTCTAAACTGGATTGTTACTGGAGTTTCAGGGCAAAAGCCCAGTTTCCAGTAGTCCCAACGGACCAGATTTGGCCTCCCATTCCCAAAACACTAATCAGAAGGGCAGTGGTGAGGGACGGGGAAATAAATCCTTAATTAGCGTGGCCATACCCAAAAGAAACTAAAGGAGTTCCAGTTCAGTCTTCTAAGGACCGGAGCAAACCTTGGTTTTTTTTTTTTTTTTTTTTTTTTTTTGACACTAGAGATCGAACTCACAACCACCTGCTTGCAAGGCAGGTGATTATGCCGCTGAGCTAAATCACCAGCCCCTAAACCTTGGGTTTTATAAGAAAGGAGAATGGCTGTCAGGGTTGATAACCCTGGTCATGACCTGGTTGATTCGATACCTTAGGACTGGTTCTGGGAGTTGAGATGCTTGTGTGTGGCTCTTCTTTTCCTGGAGTCTGAGATGACCTAAGGTAGGTCTAGGACAGTGACAGAAGACTGCTAAGCATTGCTGCGGGAGGTCTGGAACTGGATGTTGTCAAAGCTGGCAACTGGATAGGCCTGAAAATCATTTTAGATATTCTTATCTTATTGTCTTCAGTCTTTTTTTTTTTTTTTTTTGTTTTTGAGATGGGGTCTCACTATGTAGTTCAGACTGGCCTTGAACTCACTACATAGCCTAGGCTGGCCTCGAATTCACAGCAATCCTCCTGCCTCTGCCTCCTGAGAGCTGGAATTACAGGCATGTGCCACCATGCTCGGCTCAATGTTCTCAGTCTAGAAGGCAGATAAGAAAAGCTAGGTAAATTTAGAGCTAATAAACTTATACTACTAGTTTTCAGACAGATTTTCCTGAAAAGTGACTAACCTGCCTATGTACAAAACTGAGCAGGGATCTGATATAAAGTTTTAAAGGAGTAATAAAGGAGACAAAGGCAAATTGAAGGCAAAGCTGGACATGGTAGCACATGCCTGTAATCCCAGACTCAGGAAGCTGAGGCAGAGGATCACCATGAGTGTGAGGCCAGCCTGGTCTACAGAGTGAATTCAAAATCAGGTTGAACTGGGGCTGGGGATTTAGCTCAGGGGCTGGGGATTTAGCTCAGGGGCTGGGGATTTAGCTCAACGGCATAAGTGCCTGACTTGCAAGCAGGCAGTCGTGAGTTCAATCCCTGGTACCGATAAAAAGGAAAAGACAAAAAAAAAAAAAAAAAAAAAAAAAAAAATCAGGTTGAACTGTGAAGTAAGACCCTGTCCCCAACCTCCCTAAAGTAGGCAGAGATGCCAAGTTTCCTCTTGCTTTTTGTTACCCACCGTGTATCTGTGGGCCCAGATGCTAAGTCCCTGTTTCAGGGCCAGATTGTACTAAGACGACTGAGGATCAGCTAACAAAGGGACTTCTAGAGGCAAATATTTGCAAAAAGGAATCCAAAGTCATTGCCATTGAAGAATTTCTCCCTTGATCACCAAGACAGTAAATTGACCACAAAAGGAAAATTTGGAAAGATTGCAGGGAGCTATTTAAAGAATCAGTAGTTTCTGATTGACAGCACACAATGACCCAGCTCCCCAAAAAGGATGCAGCAAAACAGGTGATGGATTCCATTATTTCTCTTGCTCTTCACTTCTAGTTCTTTCTCCCACACTCCCGAGGAAGCTCCCATGGACAGAGCCGCATAATCCGAAAGGCTTACTCTCAAGACTTCTACACCCAAATGATGGATGAGAGCTATCGGTTATGGGCCCAGCTGGAGCGTGAGGCTGGAACCTCACTGCACAGGTCGGTGGGGAGGAATTCCTTGAATCAAGCAGCTCAAACACTTGAAATATCAGGGGAGGGAGCTCTGTGCTGGGGTGCGGGGTGGGGACAGTGGGGGGTGGTCATTATCACCCCAGAGAGCTGAGTCCAGGCTCTGCGTTCCAGGCCTAGGGTGGACTCTACATCCAAAGCTGGCAGAGGTTGTACTGGGGAAATCGGTGAGAGCGCTGAGGGCAAACCCCCAGAATTGGCAAGCTTATGAGCAGCTGGCTGGAGTCTAGCTGTGTTTTGGATAGTGTTAAAATGAAGGAAAAAGAACTGCTTTTTGTTTTATTCTTTTTTTTTTTTTTTTTTTTTTTTTTGCTGTACCAGGATTGAACTCACGACCTCACTTATGCCACTGAGCTAAATCTCCAGCCTTGGAAACTGCTTTTTTGATCCATATATTCTTACTAGTAAGAATTTTCCTTCTGGGTCAGGCCAGATTGCTTGCAAAGAGTGAGGTGGAAGCCACTTCCCTGTTGGCCAGTGGCTCCCTCTAACTCTTAGGATTCCTGGGTCACCGACCTTTCAGACATCTGGGAAGGGAAGCAGAAAATCTGCCATGCCATGGGGAGTTTAAGCAGCCCTGCCTCCCTTCACAACTGAACTTCCTTTGCATAACCCCTGCTCTACCCCACAGGGTGACAGTTATTTTAATGGTCAGGAACCAAGAGGTTACTGTTCTGTTGCAAAAACACCATTAACTTAAGAACAAAGTGAAATCCATTATGCAAATACAGCTGGGGCAGCTAATTAAGGATTTATTCAGAGGCAGTTAATGCACCCAGCACCCAAATAAAGGAGCTCGTCTTGCCCAGGGGTGGCCTGGCACAGGCATCCTTCTCTGGCGGCCAACTGTGAACGCTGCTGAGTGTCCCGGACTAGAAGCGCCCAAGGCCTTGCAGGGCATGCCTCCTCCTGGTGCACAAATGTCTTCCAGAGGATGCCAGCTTTTAGGTTTGACTTTGTGCCCTAGGTATTATCAGCTATGTGATCTTGGAAAAGTTTCTTTATCTCTCTGTATCACTTTTTATTTCCCATGTGGTTTTGCGAAGATTATGTTAGACTTTTGTAAAAATACTGGGCACAATGCTTTTTTTTTTTTTTTTTTTTTTTTTTTTTGTCTTTTTCCTTTTTATCGGTACTGGGGATTGAACTCACGACTGCCTGCTTTCAAGGCAGGTGCTTAAGCCGCTGAGCTAAACCCCCAGCCCTGGGCACAATGCTTAACCTTTAAATAACTGTTCCCCCCCCCCCAAAAAAAAATAAATAACTGTTCCCTTCCACCTATTTTGAGCCAGCCATATTCTGGCTCCTTTGGGGGATGGAGGAAGAAGGGCAAGGGACAAAAGGGAAGCAGTGACCACAGATGTCAGGGAATGAGTACAGGAGGAAAGGAAAGGGACCATCAGATAGGAGATTCTCACAATCTCACAATCCTCTGGTCTGGCAGAAGGTCAGGAATTTGGAAGGACTTTGGAACCAATCAAGCCTGGTTCTAAATCTCAGTTCTTCTGCATTAGCTGTGTGATTTGGAGCCAGCTGTTTAACCTGGGTGAGAGTAGGGTTTCTTACCCATAAAGTGGGGACAGTAACATCTATTTCATGGAACTGCCGTGAGGGTATTAGTGGGTTTGAACCTGGAAAATCGTATCTCCTCCATCTCCTTAGCACTCACAAGAAGAAACCAACTAGGGCTATTCTAAATACTTACGACTGAGCATCTTTAATCTGAAGATCTGAAATCCAAAGTGCTCCAGTATCTGAAACTTGCTGAGCCTTGACATGCAAGTGGAAAATTTCACACCTGACCTCATGAGATGAGACGCTCAAAGCACAGAGCTTGCAAGGCCTGGTAACGCATACCTGTAAGGCAAGGCTGGAGCAAGAGGACTCCAAGTTCCAGCCCAGCATGGGCCATTTAGCCAGACTCTCTCAAAATTAAAAAAATACGTGTTGGGGATATAGCTCAGTGTTAGGGTTCTGGACTTCATACCCAGTGACTAACACACATACCTATATACAAACACACACATTCATACACAAATAAAACCAAAACCAAACTAAAAGCCACACAGGTGCTCTAAAAATATTATATAAAATTACCTTCAGACTATGTATAAATGAATTTTGAGTCTAGACTTGAATACCTCATTGTGCAGATGCAAATATTCCAAAATGCAAACAAGTCCAAGATACTTCTGGTCCCAAGCATTTAAATAAGGGGTAATTACCCTCTATATGTAGTATATTTGTTTCTCTCTACAATCTCAAGAGTGAGTTGGTGATAAGTGGAAAGTTTCTTTTCTTCTTTATTTTGTTTTTTTCTTAAGAGACAGGATCTTGTTCTGTTATCTAGGTTGGCCTCAAACTCTTGGACTCAAGAGATCTCTCTGACTCAGCCTCCTAAGTAGCTGGAACCATAGGTGCACTACCCTACCATGCCTGGTGTAGTAAATCAGAGTCTGAATGCATTAATGTAAATCACAGAATTACTCTACTCTTAGTCTAGGAGCAGAGTTCAGCAAACTTTTTCTCTAAAGGCCACATAGCATTTCAGACTTTGCAGGCCATATGTTCTCCTCTGATGCAGTTATTCAGTTCTGCCATTGTAGTGCGAAAGCAGTCACAGACAAGATGGAAATAAATGAACCTAGATGTGATCCAATAAATCTGGACATCAAAATTTGAATTTTATATACTTGCCTTGAGTCATAAGATGTTATACTTTTGATTTTTTTTTTTTTTTTTTTTTTTTTTTTGTAATGGGAATTACACCCAGGGAGCTTTTTTTTTTTTTTTTTTTTTTTTGTCTTTTTCATTTTTATCGGTACCAGGGATCAAACTCATGACCACCTGCTTGCAAGGCAGGTGCTTATGCCGCTGAACTAAATCCCCAGCCCATACTCAGGGAGCTTTGAGCCACATTCACAGCCCTTTTTATTTTTCTAGTTTGAGATAGGATCTCATTAAGTTTCCCCAACTGGCCTTGAACTTGCAATCTTCCTGTCTCAGTTTCCTGAATAGGTTGCACCACAGTACCTGGCTTTTCCTCCTCCTCTTCCTTCTCCTCTTCCTCTTCTTCTTTCTTTCTTTTTTCCTTCTTTTGATTGTTTAAATCAATCATTTAAAAATATAAAAACTAGCTGGGCATGGTGAAACACATCTCTAAACTCAGCACTCTGGGAGGCTGAGGCAGGGGGATCACCAAGTTCCAGTTCAGGTTGGGTAACTTAGTGAGACCTGTTTTAGAATAAAAAATTTAAAAAGGGCCAGAGGATGTAGCTCAGCAGTGTGAGCGCCTGCCTAGCAAGTGCATAGTTGTGAGTTCGATCCCCGGTACCAGAAAAAAAAATAAAAAATGAAAATAATAAAAAAAAGTCTGAGAATGTGGCTCAGTCCAAAGGTCTTGTGTTCAGTCCCAGGTCCTGGATGTGTGATATCTTGGCTGAGAATCACAGAAAAACAGGCCAGAAGCCAGATTGGTCCCTTGATCAGAGTTTACTGGCCGCTGATCCTGACGGTACCACAAACAGGTTATGTTGTCCATTACCTTGTCTCCAAACAAATTCATGCCTAAATCATTCCAGGTCAAAACACTGCAACTGTGCGTTTAAAGCCAGCGAAATATCATGGCCTATACTAAAAGCCTATTTTATCACAGCCTCAATTATGAAAGATGAAGAATAATGTGAATGTACTTTAAAAACCTGTGAAGTGCTGGAGTACTAAGTATTATGGCCATTGTTGTTGTTATTCTATCATTAACAAGCCGTGTCTTATGCTAACCTAATTTACTCAGGCATGTTAAATTTTTTGCTTTTTTTTTTTTTACTAGTAGGGATCTGCAGACACCACCCATTCTGGAGGTGGTATCTGAATATAGCGCTCTACCTTTGGGCTAAATGTCATTCAGATTGTTTTAGCTTTTACACATAATTTGGATTTTCTAAATGATTCATCCTCTTTGTGATTCTTTCCCCCAGATTCTAGAAGAACCAGCACAATACCATAACCGATAGAAAGGAACATAATGAGATTTGATGATTAAAAAACAAAAACATTTAGGAGCTGGTATGGAGGTGGTTGTCCAATTCTTTTTATTTTGTTCTGCTGCTTGCTGTGACAGTGGCATACTCTACATGAGTGGGCTCAGAATATTTGCATATATTCCGGGAACAGACAATGACACATGTGTCAGATCACAAGGTCTGAATCTTTTGTGATGTGTACAGCCAGGATGCTGATACCAACAGCAAAGCCTGCCTCTGTGACCCATCTTTTTTCTGCCCCGCCTCTCCCTTTGAGTCCTACTATCCAGCTCCTGACCCAGGCTGCCCCTGCTTCGCTGACAATATCAGACAAGATCACAGCCGTAGGCAGTACAGCTGCTGGCAGAACCTGGCGGCCCCCTCCGCAGCTGCTGCTTCCTGTGTCTGCGAAGTGTCTGGATTGTCAGCCACATCCCCTCCCTGGAGCAGTCTTTGTTAACCAATTCCACCTCGGCCCACTGAGCCGAAGATAAAACACAGAGAGCTCCTCCAAAACCAACAAAGACCGCAGCCATGACGAGTCCCTTCTCCAAGGTGACACAGAGCTGGCACTTTTAACCAGGTGAGGGAGGAGAAAGCTGGACCCTGCAGTGGAAGTTGGCAGATGCAGGAAGAGCTGTTTCCCTCCTTCCAGGTCCTGCCTGCTCCATTTCACACTTGTTCCCTGTAGTAACGGGTGGAAATCCCAGATCACCAATCCCTGCATCACATCCAAGGCATTAGTCAGCCACCGAAGAGTCAACAAGGCCCCGGGGAGGACTTCTCAGTGACCTCTAGCACTGGTGCCAGCTGGAGTCTAGAGAAAGGCATAATTCACACCAAATGATCTCGATTCTGATGGGCGTTTGGTGGGGGGTACTTTGAATTTTTGGTTCCTCTGCCACATTGAGCTGGCCTCAAACCCTTCTTTTTAGACCAGCCCTGATCTGTCATTTCCTGGTCATTTTCCCCATAGATGTTCTTGTCCTTTCTTACCTTCTTCTTCCCAAACTTTGCAGCCTAGGTCTGAGCAGAAAAAGAGGAGGGGAGGGCCCGGAGCACAGGGGTGAGAAATTAACGCAGAGTGAGCAGCCTATTTATATTGGAATTTAGGAAAAGCCATTAAGAAAATAAGCACTTAAATGATTTTCAATCTGCCCATGGAAGTCATCTATCTTCATACTGGGGGAAAAGGCCCGTTCTCCCATCCTGGTTTTGATTGACTGATTTCCAATTCTCTGAGCATTTCCCACAGGAGCCTCTCACCTATCTCCCATAATGACAGGCCTTTGCATTTCCAGGCAGTGTTTTACATTTATTTCCGATTTGCTCATAATGGTCAAAAATTTCTCTCCAGTCCGTGGCATTTCTTCAGCAGAGCGCGGTTTCCCTCAGGCCAAATAGCTCAGCTGTGATCCACGGAAAATGAGAATTTCCCAAACACGTCTTCGGACTAGGGGAGGGTCCGGCATCACAAATTCAGATGGAAAATTTCCCACTGTTAGATCAATATCTGGGCTAAGAAATAAATGCCACAGGGGCAGAGAGCTGGAGCAAAATGATTACAATCGGCACAATTACATTCACCGGCAGAATCAGCTCGCTGATTACTCCTTGGGATGGGGAGCTCCCGCTTCACCCACCACAGGACAGCTTGGGAATTAGAACATCACTCCACGTTTAGTAATTTGAGAGATTCGCCTGTTGTCTTGGCGTGAGTTCACTTTTCCCAGACAATGTGTCCCTGTAAAAGGAGTTCGTATTTAAAGGAAAGAAGGAAGGCAGGCAGGATGAAAGGCTGGGAAAAGAGAAAGTGAATGTTTCAGCGTTGAGGAGGCCGAGTCTGCTGTATAGCCAGCAGAAGTTAGAATGTACTGCTGTGGAGTCTCCAGGCCAGAGACATTACATCTGCACAGCTGGGACGTAAGCCAGGGCTTTCCCAGAACTGTATCTAGCAAGGAAAAAGGGCTCAAGAACATATACTAAATTGCCGAACCACTCAGGCTGGGATTTGAACTTGCGATGCTCCTGCCTTAGTCTCTTGAGTAGCTGGGATTAGAAGCATATGTCCACCATTCTTGGCCCTATATATGGCTTCTAAATTACTTTGTCGACCAAGAAATTTACTAGGCAAGTTTTCATTACCTGAGAACCAATCTGAAGTCCTTTGGGGGGCTACAAAAAAAAAGTATCTGCTGGCTGCTGGGGATTTCCACTGCGTCTTTCTCTGCTGAGCTTTGAAGTGGCAGAAGCTGGCTCTGCTATCTCACCAGTGCTGAATGCCGGGTAGGCGGGGGCCATGGCAAATGGATTGGGCACACTGCGCGGCTCTGTGTACTGACACCGGCCCCCGAGTCTGCTGTGTCCCTACCCCCTCCCAATCTTCTCTTTAATCCCCCCAACCAGATAATGTGGGATTTGGAACCATGTAATATCCATGAGACTCCATTATAGGCTATTACGAGCCTCATACACAGTGCCTGGGGGATGCGCCAGGCTGTCGCTGGTCACTGTGGCTGCTGAAACTAAGGCGAACCACAGGAATGGCCTGATGGGCAGATGGACCCTCTCCCCCAAAGAGCTCTGGCCTCTTGCGACAGATTCAGGAAGCATTAAAGAGAAACAGCTTTTGCTCCTTTCCAGCATAAGAAGGCTAGAGGGAGGTAAGGGAAAAATAAAATCAAAGGATCATTGGATTTGTGGCTGGGACTCAAAGAGACCATCTATTGGTGTTTGGGCATGGAAGTGCCATTGGCATTTGGGGTGGGATCTGCTGGGGCACTGTAGATTTAGCATCCCTGAGCAACTCATTAAGTGCAAGTAACAACTTCAGACATTGTGACAACTATAAACATGATGCATACCATTTCTCCTGACCACTGGGTAGGAGAAGGGCTCCACCAGTGGTCCAGCAGCCATGTGTTACAGAAGAGAGGATTCTAATGGGCCCCAAGAGGTAAGTGACCAGGTCAAGGTCACACCAAGGTGATGCCAGGCTCAGAGGGAGAGCCAGATCTTCCAATGTAGAATGCTTGCCACAAAACGAGCATCTTCTGAGAAAGATCTGAGAGGTGGACACTTAGCAAGGGACAAGATATTGTATGGCAAGAAAAAGGAAGAAGAAAACAAACAGTGGGTGTGGGGGAGAGGACAGAGAATAGAGGGTGAGCATAAGGAATGGGTCAGGACGAGAAGGGGAAGAAATCTTACTGGACTGAAGGCACACCTGCCATCTTTAGGTAGAAAGGGACTTAGGATTTCTGCTCTCAGGGGCAGGCTGGAGGGACAGGCAAACCAAGTGTGAACTTGGGCATAAGTTAGAAACCAGCAGCAGGGCACTCTTACAGCAGGAACCGGATGGCTTCACCTGTTCTCTGAATGCAAGGTCATGACTCCCGACTCCCTAAATCTACAGTGCCCCAGCAGATCCCACCCCAAATGCCAATGCTGAAGAATGCCAGCAGATGAATGCCTTGGGCCCTGGCGTAGGCTTTCACTGGGGTGCCTTATTTATTTATTTATTTATTTATTTAGATTTTTTTTTTTTTTAACAGGAAGACTGAACTACTGGTCCTAGGGATGGAGGGGAACCCAGAATTAGAGACGATGCAGGCCACCATGTCTAGGCATGGGATAGAACACCAGCGTCTCTCATCTGAGGAACTAAAACAATGTTTCCCAAATCTCCGGTTGACCAGGGGAGAAGTGGGGCTCTTGGACAAGACTGGAGGGGTCCTTTATGCAGACAAGGCCCTCAGAGCCCTCCAGGTGACATTGGGCAGCACTGAAAAATGCTCTGAACATCCTGGGTCCCCATCAGCCAACCAGTCCCAGAATCCCCTCCATGTGAGGGCCTTTGCCCTCTGCCTTTGGTCCTGACCATGAGAGCAGGTCATTTTTATACTCCTGCTGGTCTTGTGGAGAGGAGATCTAGATTCTTCACTGTCTTCTCAGACCTAAGTGCAGGGATTTGTCCTCTAGGATGAAGAACGTACAAACTAACTTACCTTTTCCTGCTCTTTCAGGATGTAATTCACCAGCTAGGGGGAACAGTGCATGATGGAGAGAAGGTGACAGAGATAAGACCTGGGCTCCCAGTCCTAGTGAAAACCACCTCCAGGAGCTACCAAGCTAAGAGCTTGGTCATCACGGCAGGTCCATGGTCCAACAAGCTCCTCCAGCCCCTGGGCATTGAGTTACCACTCCAGGTAGGGGGAACAGAGAGTCTGAGAATCAGTGCGTAAGAGAAGCCTTAGAGCCAGATGGACTAGATATTTGTTTTTGGTGTTTCTTTGTACTGGGAATTGAACTCAGGACCTTGAGCTTGCCAGTCAGGTGCAGTGCTGCTGAGCTGTATCCCTGGCCGTGTAGGCGCTGAGTTCTGAATCTGCCACTTAGTAGTGGAAGACGTTGGGCAAATTAGTTCACCTCACTGCACCTCAAGTTTTATTGACATGGGGTTAACAGCTATCTCAAAGGGCTGTTGGAGAGTTAAATTCTGTAATATATAGAAAGCCCTTAGCAGAAGGTCTGACTGACAGTGAACACTGAATAAATACAAGGTATTACCAACTTCTGGAATAAGAGAGAAGTAAGGCTGGGTGGGGAGAGACGGGAGTTTGGAGGTCTTCAGGCCTCATAATGTGTGTAACGAGCAAACAGCAGGAGACCTGGCCTAGGTGTGTGGAAGGGCTGTGGGACTTCAGAAGAAGCTCTGTTGTCTGTTTTCTCCCTTTGTGTGCCGCTTCTTCCCATGCTTCAAGACTCTGCGGATCAACGTGTGTTACTGGTCAGAGAAGGTCCCTGGGAGCTACAGTGTGTCCCAGACCTTTCCTTGCTTCATGTGCCTGGACTCGGATCCCTATCATGTCTATGGGCTGCCTGGAGGCGAGTACCCTGGGCTGATGAAGGTGAGCAGAAAGGCAGAGCAGAGGTGGCTGCTTGAATTCGCCCTTCTGACACAGACCCCTCCTGTCCCAGTGGGCAGAAGTAGAGTTCGCTTCACTGTGTATTCACTATTTTTTGTTTGCAGAGAAAACCCCCTCAGCTGTCCCAAGGCCCAGCTAGAGGAATCTTTCCTTTGCAAACATGGGGGTGCAGGGGCTGACATTAGGCAATAGACAGCATGTGCCAGGATTGGGGAAAGCCTGGAGGGTGCATGGGGGACATCCTGAGTCCAAGTCTGCCCCTTCCTGGCATATGGGATCAGCCTCACTGACCACACTGCTCTACTGGTGGCCAGATCTGTGTTCACCAGGGCAACAAAGTGGACCCGGAGGAACGGGACGACCCCATGGCCTTCTCAGGTGTCCAAGATGTCCAAATCCTATGCCACTTTGTCCACGACTACTTCCCTGACCTGAAGTCTAAGCCTGCCATCATAGAGCGCTGCATGTATACGGTAAGAGGCCGGGGATGGGGACAGATAGATCTTGTCCTAGCCAGGCTTGACTACATTTGACCCCCGACATAATACATGACCTGAAACAAGGAAGCTAATTTCTGTGGATTGGTTCACCTCCACCAGAGAGGGTCCATTAGGGATTATTCATATTCTTTTTCATTAGACAACTAGGTTTATGCCTGGAAGTCTTTCACTATATTTCCCAGAAGAGCTTTAAAAGATTTTTTGGCAAGATGCTCCAGTTGAACAGGCCTTAGGGACAAAGAGAAGAGACAGATGTCACCAGTGCCTGAGGCATCTTGGCTAAAGTTGGTTTATAAAGATGAAATGAGCGCCTACTGTGTTCATGGCTCAGTAGGAGGAGAGAGACAGATGGACAGACAAGAAAGACTGGCAGAGCCACAGGGGTGCCTGGCGTGTGGGAAACACGCCTGTGCCCCATCCTTTCTTTCTAGAGACAGATCCAGCCCAGACTCCTCCTCCTATCAGAGCCTGTCACTTCTCCTCTCCCTGTCCTCAGCTGACACAGTGGAACTATTTCTTTCCAGAACACCCCAGATAAGCACTTTGTCCTGGATCGTCACCCGAAGTACGACAACATTATCATTGGTGCCGGATTCTCTGGTGAGCCCAAGGAGAGGGACATGGGAAACCTTCAATCTGATCTACCTCAGTGCCAGGCAAAAGGGTATTTTATACACTCTTAGATGCCTAGATAAGTGTCGGAGGCCAGATATTTAGTGTATAAAGAGGCTGGGCAGTCACAGAGAGGGGCTCAATGGGAGGCAATGTCTAGGTTTCAGATGAGACCAAGCAGGATAGGTAGCCTGTCTGGCTAGCAGGGAACTTCTCAGGAGCCAGCCTTTCAGTCCCTGAAGATGTATCACCATCTATTCCTTCTCTTAGGGCATGGATTCAAGCTGGCTCCTGTTGTGGGAAAGATCCTGTGTGAGTTAAGCATGAAATTAATGTCGTCCTATGACTTGACACCGTTTCGCATAAGCCGTTTCTCTGGGTTGGGCAAAGCCCACCTTTGATGGCTGGCCTCCCCACTGTGCCCTGGCCTCTGCTGGGAAATTGCTCTGGGAAGTGACCCTGAGATACATACATCCTTTTCTCTTGCTGGGACATTTGATTCTCTCTGGGATTTAGGGTAGGTCTGACTAAATCTGCTCAGGGGAGCATAAATAAGATGACCTCTTACAGATCACTAGTGCTCTTGGGGTTCCTTTTCTCTAAAATTAGGGAAGCCATCCTAGGACAGATCCATCCTCCATCACAAACTCTCATCAATCTCATAGCTACACAATACACGTTTGATAAAAAAAAATTGCTGAATAAACAAATAATTGCATTACATAAAAGTCTGTGGTGGGTTTTCTTTCCCATGTGATCTTATTTCTTGTAGACTTTAATTGTCTAAATTAGCATCACAGAATCTGTTACCCCCAGGAATCCACAGTATCTTGGTCCCCCCACTGCACTGCTTCCCCTGTCTCTGGATTCTTTGTCTGATCTTCATCCTCTCTCTGAATCTGCAAAGACACTCAACTCCCCAGTCCCTCATTAAGGTGTATTGTCAGGTCTTTATGAAGATGGAGCTGTTATACCAAAAAGAAAGAGAGAGACACACTCGCTTAGAAGCCCTGTTCAATGTTTGAATGTTAAATGTGCCATTTTATTATCATTAGGATTGCTCCCACTTAATGAAACAGCATTAGCACCGAGTCGGCTGGCCTCCTTGCACTAATTGCTTTGGAAGGGAACGGGCTCCTAACTACCCCAGGGTGGGTGGGAGCTGAGGTGTAAACAGGGTCTCAGGCGAGGCGGGATACACTCAGGTGAAACCCAAGTGGGGAATCTGTAGATTGGGCCAGTTCCACCCCCAGAGATTGGGATTTTAAATGCTCTGGAGAGAAAACAGACAGGACTGGGTGGTGTGAATATTCTAGGAAGGGTGACTGAGTGGGGAACAGTGAGCAATGAGAATGAGAGTCAGAATATCCCCACAGTAAATACAATGCAGAGGAAATCACTCTTCAACTGCCTCCATTCTTCAAGGTCTCGGCACATGTATTAGCACTGATTTCTCCAGTGAGTTATAAAAGCCAGCCGATCCTGCCGACCCCATGCCAAGTCTGCTTTTTGGGTGATCTCAAGTGGTTCCCTGAGCCTGAGCCTCTATAACGAGAACAATAATACTGATCAACCATACAGGGAAGTGTGAGGCTTGGATAAGAGCATTTGCTCACTCATTCCTTTATTCAATACCCAAATATTCATTTAACATCTACTGTGTGTCAGGCACTGCATGTATCAGTAAACAAAACATAAAAATCCTCACTCTAAAACTGGATAGTGATTTTTCAAAAAATTAAAAATAGATTAACATAGGACCCAGCAATCCTACCTCTGGGTATATACCCCCAAAGATTTGAAAACAGTGTCTCAAAAAGATATTTATGCACCCACGTTTAGATCAGCATAATTCACAATGGCCAAGAGGTAGAAACAACCCGGATGTCCACTGACAGATGAAGGGTAAACAGAATGCAGAGCGCATAGTAGAACATTATTCAGCCGTAAGAGGGAAGAAACCTCGGATACAAGCTCCAACGTGAAGGCAACTTGAGGACATTATGTTAAGTGAAACAAGCCAGACACAAAAGGACCAACCACACCATTTCATTTATACAAATACAGTAGTCAGATTCATAGAGAGTAGAATGATTGCCAGGGGCTGGAGGGAGGATTTGTTTATGAGTGCAATTTTAGTTTTGTGAGATGTAAAGCATTCCAGAAATTGGGTGCACAGCCATATGAATGCACTTAATGCCACTGAGGTATATGCCTAAAAATGACTAGGATGGTAACGCTTATGTTGTATGTATGTGTGTATTTTTTTCAGTACTGGGCATTGTTGGCCCATTGTACAGGGAAGTGTGAGGCTTGGATAAGAGCATTCGCTCACTCATTCGTTTATTCAATACACAAATGAAGAGTCTTTGCACTGAGCTAAACTCACCAGCTTTTTTTACTTTTTGAAACAGGTATAGGAAAGTCATTGAATTACCAAAACTCTATTTGAACTCATGATGCTCCTGACTAATCCCCACAGAGTGCTAGGATTACAGGCATATGCCACCATGCCTCGTTTATATTACATTCATTCAATATACAAATACATTTTTAAAAGTTTTATCCGGGGCTGGGGATTTAGCTCAGCGGCATAAGCACCTGCCTTGCAAGCAGGCAGTCGTGAGTTCAATCTCCGGTACCGATAAAAAGGAAAAAGACAAAAAAAAAAAAAAAGTTTTATTCAGGCCTGGGATATAGCTCAGTGGCACAGCGCCTGTTTTGCAGGCGCAAGATTTTGAGTTCCATTCCCCAGTACTAAAAAAAAAAAAAAAAATTTATTCTTGCCGGTGGTGTACACCTGTAATCCCAGTACTATGAAGACTGGGGTAGGAGAATAGCTGTGAGTTTGAAAGCAGCCTGGCTGCATAATGAATTCAAGGCCATCCTGGTCTATATATTGAGATCTTGTCTTAAAAAAAGAAAACAAAAGGTCTATTCTTACAGAGTTTACAGTCAGGTAAGCAATACATGTAAGTAAATTTTACCATATAGTAGAAGTTAATAAATGCTTAAGAGGAAAACAGAGGGCTGGGGATTTAGCTGAGTGGCGTAAGTGCCTGCCTTGTAAGTACATGGTCGTGAATTCCATCCCTGGTACAAATTAAAAAAAAAAAAAAAAAAAAAAAAGAGGAAAACAGAGCAGGGTGAGGACAGTGAGTTCTGGGGGAGAAGCTGACCTTTTTTTTAAGGGTCTCTTTGTTCAGGCTGGCCTCGAGCTCACTTTTGTAGCCCAAGCTGGTCTTGAACTTGCAACAATCTTCCTGTCTCAGCCTTCCAAGTGCTGGAATTACAGGCCTGAGCCACCAGACCCAGTTTGAATCTGTCCTTTTTGATGAGTGTTCAAGATGGGTCTGGCTCTTGGAGGGTGCCCCTCTGCAGACCTGAGGAGGAGAACTGAGCTGTGTGGTTATCTGGGTGTGTGTAAAGGGATACTGTGAATCAGAAAGCAAGATACTGCACTGTGATTGAGGAGGAGAGAGAAATGAGATAGAGAGACCACAGCACCATCCCAGCAGCTTTCCTGCCCACAAGTTGAGGAGAAAGGATGTTCGCAACACCCTCTCTGGTTCCACAGCTGCCCGAAGTCCTCTCTGCTGCTTGGTGTCATCCCCTCCTCCCCCAGCCAGCTGCAGCTCCCTTCCAAAATATCCAGCCTATGCAGCTCCACGGAGGGGACCAATGTCTCCAGAAGGCTGAGAAAGGACAAGTGGGGGATGCTTCCAAGCCCGGCCTGAGCTGACACGGCCTTAGCAAGACGGCCCAGAGTGTGCTAGGAGAGAGAATGGGAGAGCAGGAGCACGGGGTAGGATGAGCATGCAGGGAAGGGTGAGGCCAGTGAGGAATGGAGTGAGACAAGGAACTGGACACAGAGACCGGCAATGTGGTGATCAGAAAGGATTGCAAGGGGTGCTACACACCCCAAAAGTCAAAGGCAGTGGGCCTCGAGTGTCCAAATGGGAGGAAGTGAGCATTTCTTAGTTGGGGCAAGGTAGTATCATAGAGGGGAGAGAAGTAGGGAATAATCCATGGACGTAGAAGAAAACAGAGGTCAGTGCATAAGGGCTAGGAGGATGCCTTGAGGGTTTCTGTAATGTAGAAGGATTTGTCCAAACAGAATTCTCTCTCCGAGTCTCTTCCACCTGAGCATGACCAGGCAGCCCTTACATATCTCCAGATAGAAGAAAATCAAAATCCATCGGGCAGGCAGTCAGAGACCTCTGGAAGGGCAGCCGGGGCCGGCTAGGCTGCAGGGGATTGATAAGGGCAAAGAGAGAAAGAGGCCCGAGGTGGTTGCCAACCAGAAGAAGGAAAACAGAGGCAGACTAAAAATAGACTGGGGCGAGGAGGGAGGACAGCCAGGCCAGGAAAGGAGGGAGAGCCGAGGAAATCAATGCCATCGTGACTCTGACCCAATTCCTCATCGCTCAGCCTCACCAAACTGACAAATGAGGAAACAGGCCGACTGGTGCAGAGGGAGGAGAGTCAGGGTGGGTACTGTGAGGTACACGGCCACAGCCTTGGTCTCGGGAAGAGAGGAGATAGGTAGTGTGGTCAGCTCTAGCGCAGCCCTCCCTGGAGTTCGGTACCCTGGGTCGGGTGTGAGTTTAACTTACAAGAGGGGCGATTGTCTATGGAGAGGCAAAAGGAGGCAACCAGAAAGAGCTGGTTCAGAGAGAGCGGGCTGGAAAGTTCCTGGGGGCCTGTTTCTCTTTCCTTAGGAAGGGTGATGAAAGGAAATTTGGTTACTCCAGTGGTGGGCTTTCAGTGCAGCGAGAGGGACTTAGGCAAGGCCTCAGGGAATCCTAAGGAGGCAGTAGGCAGATATATGAAATATTACACACATGCACACATACGAGCCTCTTAGGGTATCCTTTCCTTAGAAATTTGCTCCTGAAGACTCTCATTTGAAGGCCAAGGCCTCCTCTCAAAATTTCTGGAAGACTGCTGGCTGCAGACAGGGCCTGGGATTCTTGTTCTGGGGTAGGAAATGGTTACTTTAGCAAGGCTAATTAGCCAGGGCTAATGCTGGCCCCTCAGAAGCAGGAGTGACGCAAGGTGGGCTGGATCAGTCAGTCCCGGAGAGGTAGCAGAGATGAGGGGCAGGATTCTGACACACAGGACCCAGTGGCATTTACATAACTTTGAATAATGAATAAGCCCAGCTCTGGGGTTCCTAGTCAGCACTGCTCATCTGCATCTTTATTAAGCTTTATAAATGATTCAGCTCCCCACCCCTTCCCCCACCCCTGCCCAGCCTGGCCCAGAACATCAGGATAGTTGATTGTTCATTATTTTAGACTAGATTTGTTTCACCAACAGTCAGTGAGGCATGGAGTGCGGACTCAGGAGGACAAGAGGGAGGAACAAACCCAAAAGCTAAGTGGAACGGAGGGGTTGGGCAGCAGAATACAGAAACGGCTGCCACTGTAGGAAAGCAGGCCCAGGGCTGGCCCAGGAGCAAAAGCATTTAGTTAGGGATTCAGGTATGGTTCTTTAACACATTCCCGGGGCCAACATCTTAAGGGGAAACTGATTGCTTAGGTTTCCTAAGACGTGCTGGGTTCAAATCCCCCTCAAATTCTGTTTCCCTTACATCTGCTGTCAAGCTGCCAGCAGGCCCTTTACTCAGCTTTCAGCTCCCCAGGCTGCCACTTGAGCAGCCAAATGAGTACAGCCCCGGGGAAGGTCTCACTTTTTCCTGAGGCAGGAATTTTGCTAGTTTCATG